GCCGTAAACAAAACATAGCCACGAACGGCTGCAAATGTCCCAGGCTAATAATGTAAAACATCGTTGCCATAAAACTTGAAGCAGAGGTGCTGTCATCCTCGGACTTTAAGCTCGTGCTCACTCAGTTTAGGTGCAATTGCGAGACAGTTTAGGGCGGGGCGTGTTTTTTGCAGCACAGGTGCGCAACCATGCGCATGTGACGAACACCATAGGAACAACTAGTGACACTAGATGCGACCCTGTGTCTGATACAACATGTGAAACCAAAGCAGCTGCAAACTGGTTGAAGAGGCCACCTCTACACTTTATACAAGCGGCGGACCTTCAGAGATATTTTTTTTTTTTTGTGAAATAAACTTTCCCCGACTCCTAGCAACTGCTTTCTAGTGAATTGCTGGAATAAATTTCTGGCAGTTATCACGACTCAACACTCTCAGATAGCGAAGCTGACACCTCAATTTGATATTTTACTTGCAAAGTTTCTTTTGATTACAGAACTTTGATGTTACTGTAGCATAACTTCGAGGGGCACGCACTTCTGTCAAATTCGTCAGCTAAGTGCATTTTCTCAACAACACACACACATTAGTTTGCACAAAGGTCTGTCAAAAACCACTAGGTTGTAAAAACGGGCAAATTCGAACTGATTCTGAAATTTGTATGGCTGTACTGTCTTCTATAAAGGGTTGAGTGCATGATAAACAAATTCAATATGCCAAAATCAACAATCCAAAGTGTCAATCACTGGTGATCGATTTGACTAGGCGTGGTAACGAAACAGTCAAGTGTGCACACCCTAAATGCTCACCCACGGAACACCGGTTTTTGATGCATGCGTTTTGCTGCTTTCTTGCTCCTGCTCTCTTTCTGATCTAGGAGCTGTTTTAGATAAAATATTTTGATTCCCTGTCGGTCCCTACGTGGGAGATGCCGCTATGCACTAAGCGCTTCCTGCAAGACTAAAATGAAGTTTTTTTCATTCCATTCATTGCTGCTGTTGCTGGAACTTTCTGTAGCTTTTTTGAGTTCGACTTATCTCTGAAAATGTGCTAATGCTTGTGTACGAATACTCACGAGGGCATTACACATAGGCCACAGCAGCTGCAATACAGTTTGGTTTGTGTGAATAGTGAATTTTAGTTTAGAAGCAAATAGTGATTTGGTCTAATACTTATGAATCGAATTCGAATAGTGTATATACCACATGTTATAACGAAAACCGGGCATATTTGTCATGACCAAACTAACCTGCACAATATTACTTAAAGATTGAAACAAGGCCTGTGCTAATGCCTTGCATCAAAGTAAGTGGAAACAACTTTGAATAATAGCAGGATTTGACTTTCGGTATAATGCAAGTGATAGCCTGTAAAATATCTTATGTTTTAAAATTTCCTATACTTAGAGCATATAAGTATAGCGTCAGAGCCCTGAGAAAATAAACATTAACATGCATGTGCTCGTCGTGGAAAAGAGAAGAATGAAAGAATTATGCAGTAAGGCTCCATTCTTGTGACGCTGTTAGTCATTGTTCAATGCAAGATGCACAGAATAAGCGACTAGTAGTGTTTTTTTTTTTCCTGAAAAGTATATACTAGAGGTGTGCAATTTAGGTGGGGATACAAATCAATAGTATATACAGCAATCCATGTTGCATCAGATCTAATCGAATCTACATCTTAAATATAAATAGTTAAGTCAGTAAATACAGGTCAATCTAATCTAATCCACATCCTAAGCGGCCTGGGCTGTAACCATTATAGAAAACTAGAATATATTCCAGTGGTGGAACGAACCAGGCTGCGGCGTCTTCCTTTTACACAAATGCCTCGAGATGGTGCCACTTCAATGTTTTCTACTAGCTACGGCTGCATTGTAGGACTGTCATGGGCTTCTTTAAATTTTTAGCTGCAGTTAATTTTAACTTGTGTGTTTGCTTTCTGGTTCTTCCAAACGTTAAACAGCCAACTTGCTTGCTCTCTCACTCGGAGGTTTCATTCTGGCCAGATATACGTAATTTTTTCATATTTACCGCATGTGCTCAGAATATTCTGAGCACTTGTGGTACATTTATTTACTTATTTTATAAGAACACCTGATTTTTTTATCACTCAAGAATCTGTTTTCAGTGCACAGAGTTTTCCAAGCAGATGTGGTGGTCATGGAATTTGCTTCAAATTACCATGGAAAACATGGAAAAGTCGGGGAACCTTGAAAAAGGAAATTGGTAGACACCCTGAGTCCAAACTGAGCCGATCGCACGCAACATGGTGTGCCACCGCTTTATAAAGCCGGATTAGAGTAGTCCCTGAGAAATTTTTTAAAGTATCACATCTTGGAGTCACTGGAACAGAGCAGCTCTTGATTACAGAAGATGCGAGCACCATGCTGCTGAAACTTAATCGATGCGACTGACAAGCATCTCCACAATGCATATGTACACACATATTTGTGCATGTCTGCATAAACGTACTGCGTACCTGTTTGAAAATGAACCGACTGACGGACCCGTAATTTGTTACAGCTTTATGTAGCCAACAACACAGAGCAGGAAGCAAAGAAGAATTGGGAGTAGGGTTTGCTCACGCACCAGCTGTAAATCATTGGCTGTGGTGCGAAGACTATGGAGGCGGAGCTTCCATACATTCGTGTTGCTCCGCAAGTAGTCTGGCAGCTTGCAGCAACAAAAGGCTTGCGGCTGAGGTTGGTTTTGCTCGCTCGCGTCGTTAATGCGTTTAGACAAGCATATGTACGAAAAATGTGAATGGGACAGAGACATTTAGATTATTAAGTGCATATTTCAGTGTAATGTTAAGAGTGTATTGGATAATTAAACAGCAAGTTCGTGGCATGGATGTCATGTTTACATTAGAAAACAGGTGTACAGAAAATGCAGTGCTGACTGAGAAACTGAAAGAAATAAATTTTTGTCAAGTGAACAACAGTTGTATTTTACCTATGACTCATAGTAAATAAAGCAATATATATTTCAGCTAGCAAATCAGATAGTTATTTATAAACTGGTGCTATTTCTTGCCACGCTAGCAGACATGAATTTCAGTTATCCTCGGTTTCGGTTTTCCTAATAGCTTCTATAGTAGCTACTGAACTGAATCTGCAGGACCCCTCTCTCCTTCTTTAATTATAGGAAATCTCTTGGAGCCGTGACAGTTAATTCAATGGAGGTGCCCTTTTCGAACACCTTTTTCCAGGCAATAAGCAGATAATCGACGACGGCGGCAGACAATTTGACCGCCATTACGGCCTAACTTGTAAATGTGACCTGAAAATTAAGTGTGCGATTCAATCATCTATAAAATTCTTGTTTCAAACGGAAGCCCTACTGCGATTGGTGCTAATGGCAAACTGTCATGAAATTTCACTGTCAGTCATAGGCGATAAATAAGTAGTGACTAATAACCCCCACTTCCTCCCTGTATGTTGCAGCACTATGTGATGCACACACGCATGCAGGCATCCAGGGGTTGCGTCTTGACAACCCGCTCTTCCTCCCTGAAGTTTTTGCAGGTGCAGTGCTATGTAGCTCACATGACGTGCTACAAACTTATGTGTGACTCTGACATATGTAGCGCAAATTACCGTGGACCTAAAATGCGGCAGACAACATGCCTTCTGTTTGTTTTTTTTTCGTGAATGCAAGCGTGGTATTTGTGTACACACATTATATATGATGCAGAACCAACAGGCCACAATAATTCAAAACTTATGAAATCTTTTCTTGTTACTAAAAAAAGAACTTTACAGGATTGTTCTTTTTTGTTATTCACAATATTAATGAGAGCTAACAGATAATAAAACCTAGGAAAGTATGGTGGATGTTATGTGTAGTAACTGTGATATAATTGTGAATAAATAACATAAAGATTAGTTGCTGTTTACAAGTTATTAAGGTAGCCCTGAAGCACTTTTTGGGGGGCGGGTAACCACGGAAATAACTGGGAAATCATATTGCCTCACAAATTCAACGTCACAAGAATTTTAAGAATCCGTTCAGTACGAGCGGAGTTACGCAGATTTTGTTACACGCTGCAATCGCATTCTCTCTTCTCTCGTCATGATGAAAGCGCTGGAAGCTAAGCAGGGAAGGGCAGGAGGGTCAAACGAAAGACGTCATGTGCGCCTCGTGACCTTGAGCACTTTCTTTTTTTTTCTTCATATACACAGCTTTTTCAGTGCGATCGCACACGGGGTCAAGTGATGGCTTCCTGCGGCGATCTCTGTAACAACCGAGCGCGCCATGTTCAAATCAGCCAATGGCTGATAGATGGGCCATCTATGTGTGATTTTTGAGCATCTTTAGTTATTTGTCCAGGGAAGAGAAAGTAATTTTTGGCTGACTTCGATGATTTACAGTGAATTCCAGGCTGCATGCTACGCTATAACATTTGGCTCACGTGTTCTCGGGAGCCTCTACTACCGATAGGCAGCGTTTTCTGACCATGCTCAAAACGTGTTGCAGGGCCCCTTTAATAGTTCTTATTACTGTGTTGTATGGATGGTAATTGCAATGTGAACTATGATGACAATTATAATTAATATTTTCAACCGCCATTTCATTGTCCTGCACCCTCGCTCAAGCTTGTGCTATGCGGTAGTAATACTACTACTGAGTCGATATTGACAAAGCTGCAGGGCTGGTTATTTTTTAGGTTCTTCATTTGTGGTCTGTAAACTTCAAGTAAATAGACATGTGAACCTAGTCGCTAGCAAATCCACGCCTCTGCGATTTTTCAGCGTTCAGTGCCCGCTGCAGCCCGTGTGTTATCTTTTGGAGGCCTTGTAACACTGTAGTCATACCGAGGAACTGCACCATGTGTCGTGGTTATTTATATATTCAAAATCTGTACTTCAGTGAGTTATTATGCTTATGGAGATTGTTACAGTTTGCTTTTCAAGACCATTACTGTGATGCACTGCCATATGTATTGCTCTGAGTTAACACTTTACTGTCTCTCTCTCTCTTCCTTGTTCTCAAACAGGTTTTGTTTCAATTCCGTGCCTGTGCCCAACAAAGAGAAAGTCCACGTCAACTTGAAGGACATTTTGCTACGAAGGAAGCAGTCCTCAGCCACAGTGATGTCAACGGGTTTGCTGCAGAGAACGTAATGCAGCAGTGGCCTGTTTTCATCTCTATGTGATGCTCCCAGTCACAACCCAAAGTTAGGGTCCTTGGAGTTCGAAAAACTTGTGAAGCAGTTGTACTCTGTTAAGGACATTGTTGTGTTACAAAGGGTCCTGTTTGTTTAAAGCCGAAAAAATATAATAAATCTCTCAGAGCATCAGCGAGTTTTTTTATTGCAATAAAGAGATCAATGGAAACTGCTAGCATGCAGAAACGTAGCATAAGGTAAGACAGTTTTGGATGCCTGCGTTGCAGTCCCTATTAAATGTGAAGCATTTAGCGAATCAACAGTACTTTCAGTGTATTTATATCGCCGTCTACGTCTGATGGTTGTTGTAGTCATTTGCTTTAATGGGTGTATACCAAAATTTGCATGAGTAATGACTTTAGGATGAAGATGACTGGCATGATTTGAGTAACAGGACACGCCCATTGCGAACTTCATGAAACCCTTTCTTATGGTCACATGTGGCTCATAACCATATACTACGGCACGTGGTGTGCAGATATGTGCCGCAGATGACTCACTGTACATGGAAGCTCAGGACATCGAAGACAGACATTGAGAACTTTATGGGACACTTGGCATGGATTAAACAAGAAGAAAACATTTTTAGGAGCGAAGCTCCTTTTTGTCTAACTTGTCACACGTCGCGTAACGGAGAGAAGAAGAGACGAAAAAGAAAAGAAGGCAGTATCTCCCGAATAGTATGGTAGATGGTGCTGTTTCATAGAAGTACATACAAACTTGAGTTGAGCAAGGATATTTTAGATGGCACTGTACCGCTACTCTCTGATTGGCTGTTGCTCAGGCTGTGCCTGGGTACGTGGCGAACGAGTGCCTCTCTGTCTTCTGGATAGTCGCCGTACGTGGCGAATCGTTGGTAGGTCATGGACGAAGCAGAGCGGCGGGTGCATTGAAGACTCGTGCACTCGGCTTCCTTGGCTCGCAATGGTCGATGTCACCCGCGCACCGTCTGCATTCTCGAACGTGATCGGACACATGCACGAAGGGACGGACACACTGACAAGTGGACGGATGAACCTTTTGCCCCACTCATCAGCATTCACTCCGTGGATATGCTGTGATTTTTGTATAGTTGGCTATTTTTTATGTAGCGCAGAAATGTTAAAAAATGTGCCTTTGTAGGTTATAGTCTAGTGTTGCCTATCCCCGCTGGTGAACGCGCTTACGCTTCGTTTTGATGGAAGAAACATCTGTGCTGTAACGTACGAGAATGCCTACTTAACGTCGGACAGTGAGCTATCTTTTAGACGCCGTTTCAGTCTACGTGCCTTGGCAGCCCATGATGCACAGTTTTTAATATTACACAAATAATGTCATCACTGTACCTCATAAGACTTCGTTCAAAGTGTGGCATATATACAGCTACTTGCTGACTGCTTCGCATGAAAGTGATTCAAAGAATGCGTGATATCTGCTGTGATTTTGTATTTGTACATAATTTAGTCGAATATTTGCTGGCTATCTACCTACTAGAGAAACTGAGAATTCGCCAAGATTTCTAATAGTCTGGAAAAACTCTGGAAAATTGTGCTCGCATCAGGATAATTCGCTGTGATATTATTTTAAAGAGACACACGAGGCAAATCTTAAGTCGATGTCAATGGCTGAAATAGCGGCCCAGAAACCTCGTAACGCTACTTTTGTGCTGAGGAAGTGCTTAATTTGAAATAAGATTACGTTTTAGTGGTCCGCATTGCACTAGCTCGCTTCAAATTATTCGCCTCACAGCGTAAACTGTCACATCACTGTTGTCGTGCTGAACATTGTCTGGCTTTACTGCGCGGCTGCCGAGACTCGTAGCAGCAGAGCAAAAGTTGCGGTAGCCACAGCAGCAACAACGGCCGTCGAACGATTTCCTGCCACAGCCTCCAAGATGGCAGGCGGGCTTGGTTCAACTGGGCCCCACTAGATGGCACGTGTCCAGTTTAACCAGGCGAAAATTGAACTTGTGAACCATGCGTGCCATTCCCCATAATAATGTCTGGTGGTTAGGTTTTTCATGAATCAAACAGGAATGAACAAGAAGCATTTTTATCTTGTCTCTCTATGCATAGAAGGTTTTTTTTTTTTTTCATTTTATTTAGTGCAGCAAGTTCGCTTCCTAGTGATTGCCCCGCCGCGGTGGTCTAGTGGCTAAGGTACTCGGCTGCTGACCCGCAGGGTGCGGGGTCGAATCCCGGCTGCGGCGGCTGCATTTCCGATGGAGGCGGAAATGTTGTAGGCCCATGTGCTCAGATTTGGGTGCACGTTAAAGAACCCCAGGTGGTCTAAATTTCCGGAGCCCTCCACTAGGGCGTCTCTCATAATCATATAGTGGTTTTGGGACGTTAAACCCCACATATCAATCAATCCTAGTGATTGATTGTAGGCGCTAACTCTTAAGTCATCGCGATCATTTTGCGAATGTCCTACTCGTGGTGCATGTGTTCTTGTGCATTTACTTCAATTTCTCGGTAATTAGGACACTGCTGCTGATAATATTGTCATTTTAGACGTTGTCATACATTGCACTTTCACTTTGACAAATAATTATTTGCCTCTTTAAGGGAACGAAAGTCTCTAACACTGCCTTGATATTTTGTGAATGCATTTTTCTGGGCTTGTGCGAGTATCCGAAGGCCTTCACTGTTCGAATGAATATTACAGTATTCGAATTTGGTTTAATTGAAATTTAAATTATTGCTAATTTCGAAGTATTCGAGTGAATAGATGTAAATTAGTCTGCATGTGATCCTTTGCAAAGGTGGTTTCACTGCAGTGGAAAGATGCTAAGCCATGAAAGCTCCTATTGCGAACAGTGAAATTCAGGTTCGAAGCGAATAGTGATTTTGGTCGAATAATTTCGAATCGTATCAGAATACTATATATGAGATAATGGCTTATAAAAAATGGGCATATTTATCATGACCCAACTAGCCTGCACAATATTTCTCAAAAATATGATTGATTGATTTGTGGTGTTTAACGTCCCAAAACCACCATATGATTATGAGAGACGCCGTAGTGGAGGGCTCCGGAAATTTTGACCACCTGGGGTTCTTTAACGTGCACCCAAATCTCAAAAATAGATGTAAGGCCTCTATGCAAATGCATTTTTTTTTGTTTAAAGAGAAGGTGATTCTTAAGAGAGGAAGGAAGAAAAAAGTGAGCCCCGTAACTGTCTGCTTCAGGGATAGGGGTGAGGGGGGGGGGGGAAAGGGGTAGGAGTAAAGGTGTAGAAAAGAGGAAGAGACGTGAGGTGGTAAGCCAGAAGAAGCGACAACAAACCGAGGGGATAGGAAAGATGGAAACACGGTCACATGAGTCCGAGCACGGGGCACCACTTGCGAGAGCTCTTGTCGACGTCAGGAGGCGACGTAGGGCGAGCCCAGTCGGCCAGAGCTACGCTGACGCCGGAGATCGCGAGGGCACAACCGGTCGGCACGGAATCCAGCTAGCGAGTTAGACCTTCGTTTAAAGGAAGTCTAAACAACTTCGAGGGGTTGGAGAATTTTGCATTCGGTAGGATGCAAAATGACAACCAGTAAAATATGTAACATTTTAAAATTTAATATACTCAGAATATAAGCCGGCGTAACAAGCTTTTAGGCGTTAAAAAAATGATTAATCGATATAAGGGTAATATGTTCATTTACCGGGGCCCTGCAACACTTTTTCAAGTAGCCACGGAATTGATTCACTTAAGAAGCTTATTGCCTCACGAATCCATCGCCGCAAAAATTTTTATAATGCGTCCTGTCCTGTACGAGCAGAATTGCGAAATTTTGTCGCACGCTTCAAGTCCATTTTCTTTTGTCCCAACGAAAGCTCTGGACGCTAAGCAGGGAGGAATGGTGTGGCGAAAGAAGATACGTCATGCATGCCTCGTGACCTTGAGCACTTCTCTCTCTCATATATATATATTCAGTGCGATCGCGCACGTAGGCGTGGACAAGGCGCGGCCTCGGGAGTAACAACCGAGCTACAGTGTTCTAGAAGGTTTTTTTCTAGTTCACTGTAACCGAGCGTTCCATGCTCAAATCAGCCAATCGCTGATACAATAGCTACATGTGACGAGTGATTTTCGAGCTTCATCCGTCGTTTGTTGAGAGAAGAGGAAGCAATTTTTAGCTGACTGAGAATTTGCTGTTGATTCCAGGCCGTGTGCTGCGCTATAATATTTGGCTCACGTGTCATAGGTAGCCTCGACTACCGATCGGCAGCGTTTTCTGACCAGGCTCAAGAAGTGTTGCAACGCCCCTTTAGATTTGTAGTGGGGCTTCACGACAGCACGGATTTCTTTTGAGTAAATGTTTTCACAGCTTATCACTCCTACACCGCAGTGAAACCACCTTTACGGGCAGTTACATGCGGACTAATACACATTTATTCGTCGATTGCGAATACTTCGCAAGTTTCAATATTTTAAATTTGAATCGAAGTGAATTCGAATTCTGTACTATTCGTTAGAATATTCGCACAAGCCTACCAATGTATGCACAACAATCCGCATGTAATGCCTTCGTAAAGGTGGTTGCACTGCAGTACAATGTTAAGCCATGAAAACGCTGATTTAAGGGAAGTTTGCACTGCCGCGAAGCCTCACATTACCCTCACGTCGATTCCCCATTTTCAAGTTTACAAGTCGGGCGACACACTTCGTTGTTCTCCTCGACCTGGGAGTGACAAAATCGGAGAGCATCTGCTGGTGCATGGCATGCGGGAACCATGAAGCACGGCGCATCGTATCGCGCACTGTTATCTAAGGGTTCTGTGACGAGCAGTTCTGCATGCGTGTCGTGTGTTAGCGCCTGATATGGTGTTTTTGCTGCGAGTCAAGTAACAAGCATGAGCAGCTGTAGAGGTGGTAGCGGTAGATGTAAAGAGCGCTCCATTACCATGCAAACGATCGCGATCATTCAGTTAGCGGATGTTCCCTATAAGGCTGGTATATTGCAAGTAGTCCAGATCGGCGTGAAAACAAAGGCCGCCGTTTGTTGGTGGATACCGGAAAGCTCTCACACTCTCTGATCCTGAGTTGAATTGCAATACTTCTACTGTGCCGATGCATAGCGGTGGCAGGAATTCGCGACACCCATGCAGCTGCGCGGGTTGCGTTTGCTCGATTCGGCGCGCGCTGTCGCAAAACAGAT